TACTACTACTACTTCTACTACTACAAGTGCGACTGCCACTACGACTACTACTACGACGACTACTACTACGACCACTTTTACTCCTACACCTACTACGTGCTACTACTACTTCGACGACCTCGACTACTACTATAATTACTATTACTACTACTACTACTACTACTACTACTACTACTACTTCTACTACTACTACTACCACCATTACGCTTCTTCTACAACTACTACTGGTAGGACTAGTACTACTACTACTACTACTACTACTACTACTGCAACTACTACTACTACTACTACTACTACTACTACTACTACTACTACCGCCGCCACCACCACCACCACCACCACCACCACCACCACCACCACCATGCCTGCTACTGCTACTAATACCACTGCTACTACGACTCCTGCTGCAGCTTCGGATACGACCTAGTACTGCTGGTAGGATTAGTACTTGTCTGGAGTACATGAGAGAAATCCATAAAGCATGTGCAAGTTAGAATTCCACGGTAACTTGCCGGAGGCACCCCAATGATTGAAACAATGCAGGACCCTGCTACGTCTCACGCAACAAAACTGGTAAGCCACACCTTCATATAGAACTCCGTTTTTCTTGGACACCTATGGCCCAAAGTTGCGGCAAGCTACACCGTCCAGACATTCGTATTATCTAGACCATCTAGTCTGAGTGTTGAGCATCCTGGTCGTGACATAAGCTGACAAGACTAATGGCATGAGACGATTTGGATTGACATCATTGCCACGTTGTCATATCGTAGCCATACAGGAGCTTATTACATGCGGCACCTTGAGAACATATTGTCATGGTTGCCGACGTTCATATATTGAGAGGAGCATCCCTGCGGAGACCAAAACTGGCGGCAGAGCGTTTATCGCAGTCTTCACCCGCTCCTCTTTGGCCGACCCCTCAAGGGACCACAACTGCTTTCATGCATGCTGGGTGTATCCATGCAATAGAACGCTGAATTTGAGTCTCGGGTTTTGTAGTTTTGAGGAGATGCACTGGTCGCCACTATTGTCCCTCTTGTTTGCACATCTCCGTTGACATACCTGGCCACCCATCTCCTTACCTTCGGTAGATGTGTGCAGCATCAGACGTCGAATTCTCCCAAGTTAAGGGACCAGCTAGCCGCAGCTAGCCCTTGTGAACCAGGCTGAGCAGTCGACACCGGTGGCACTCCAGTTCTCAGACGCAGTGTCAGTCCAGCTCTCAGCTTCGGATGAGCTTCGGGAGAGTTGACTGGACTGCGAAGCTCGCACTGTCGATCATCTTCCGCTGTGAGTGAGAGAGGAGAGCGAGACACATAATTGCACATCGATGAAGATGATTCATGGTAGGCAGATGGATAGACAGATAGATGCCACCAAAGAAGCTCTGCAGGAGCCACGTAGGTGAGGCTTTTAATTTTTCCCTTGAAGCCCTTTTAATTGTCAGCTGCACAGAATAGCCAAAAGCAATCTCTTCAGGTGGTCGAGAATGTGAGTTTCCCGGACTTCGACTTGGATGCCTCGGACCTCGGTGGCATCCTGACTTGGTCGGAGCCAACGGACACGAGCCAGGCGATGCGCTTCACTGTATCCCGACATGTCCCACATCTCGTTTTATATTGGGCCAAGCTTTCGGCATGTGTGCTCTGCAGAAGCTACTCGTAGAGCCCAAGCAACCAGCTAGCCAGCCAACGCCTGTTTCACAGGTCGAGCACTACAATGTGTACTTTGCAAGGAGGCACGGGCTTGAAGCCAACGCAGACTTCGCCATCAGCTCGTTGAACATTCCCGCCTCACCTTGGCCTTGGACAGGTGCTCTCAGGGTGAGTATGCCGAAAGCCTGAATTCGATTCTCGGCAGCAAACATGAGCATTCCGGTGGAAGCATGGCTAGCCAAGCAGGTATCGCCAGACACGGCCTCCAAGTGTTGAGGTCCAAAGTCTGAACTAGGCATTGCGCTTGAAGCTCAAACCACTCTGTCTTTGCCGAGCACCCCAGGACACTGGCGACGGTAATCTCTGATGTTTCCGACGCGACTTGCATGATTGAGCTGCTCATACACGGATCAAGTTTCCCTACATGTGCCTCCGCTGAGGAGAGTATCACGTGAATCACGTCTAGTGCTTCTGTTGTTGTTCCGTGTTCATTTCCTGCAGTGACTTCCACAGGGCAAGTGGAAGGAAAGGAAATCCTGCGACTGTGGCGGCAAGCACCCAACAAGCCATGTCGCAGGTCTTTTGTGATGTCGAGTTCTTCGGGACAGTGCGGCAAGGCCAGATGCTGGGAGATTGAGGCAGTGAGAAGCATCCAGAAATAGAGCATGTCTGCTGCACGGACATGCTCTCTGATGCCGTCGGTTGCATTGACAGCCAGCACCGTCGCAAGACGTACCGGCAAAAGTGATATGTCAGGATTGTGCATGCTGAGACGTTTCCAGGACTGGACGAATTGGTGGTCCCTCCCGAGACGCCCATACGCAACTGTGCTAGAATTTGCTAGAATGTGCCGATTAGCGTGATCTCCGGAGTCGTTGCAGCGCAGCTTGAGTAAAATCGCTCAGTGTTGTCGCCATATGGTTCTAGCCACCATGATCAGTGGTACCGCTGGGTCTTTCTGAACACCATGTGCTCTCGCGATTACTTGAGCAGGGCTCAGATAGGGATTCTCGTTTAGAGTCTGTGGAGACTGCACCCTAAGGCAACTTCTCCCACTTCTTGGTGTATGCAAATTCTTCCTTGGCCGAGCAAAGCCTGCCAGCGGAGCACGAAATCTTCGCAACTCGATCAGATTATGTACGATTTTCAGCAATCGGGATTTGGGTAATCCTCCACCCATCTGAGAAAAATGTCAAGGCTTTAAAGTGCGAGTCCCGATCCAAAGCCCTAAACCGTCAGAAACATCCAAGGACATGAACGCGAGCGTCTCAGACATAAGATTCCAAGACCAGGACTTGGATGAAACTGAAATCGGAGGGCAGATCTACTGGCTTCCACCCTTCGACAGCAGTCGCGTCCAGGACAGCTGGACTGAGGCGTCAGGGTTCAGGTGCCAGCTTCGAGAGGGTGCAGGGTTGGCATAGGTTGGTGCAGTTGGACTTAAGATATTCTGGATTTGGTTTGTGGTTGTTTTCTGAGAGGTGTTGGAAGTTAGCAGAGCCAAGATCGGAGGTTTGACTCGTCCAAACCTCCTCCTCTAGTCGTCCCGACCACAGGACTACATTCTCACCCTGGCATTGAGCCCCGCTGGCATGGCGAGATCCCAGGCTTACGGGGAAATGGGGCTCGCCAAACGCAGCAGCCAGAAGAACAAGATGCTTTAGGGATGATCTGTTCATCTCAAGGGTAGTCAAGCCCCGAAAGTTACCTGTTTGTCAAGGGCAGTTTTTGTCATGCTGTTTCCGCCCTTTGGCCCGGGGCGCTTTCTTGGGCTTCCTTACCTTCTCATGTGCCGAGTGGATGAAAAGGAAGGAGCCTCACGATGGCACAAGAAAGGCCACACAAATTATTGATCCTGCGATAAGGTCGTCGCCGTCGCTCAACACAAGCTTCCCAAATCTGAAATCTCTCGGCCAAAGCAGCTTCTGCCTTCCGCCATATTGGAGCCCCATCCTGGCGAATGTAGCCATGGAAGACGATTTGTTTGCTCCTGACTAGAAGTCCCAAGTTGATCTAAGTTGCAGCGTCGCGGAGGTAGGGCCAAGTTTGCCTGTCGGGAACGAGACCCAGGCACTGGACCCTGACGCCCAGCTGCAGCTGTGAATGTGGCAGAAGCTGCGAGCTTTCCCAGGGGGCCCTATGTTGACCCGTTCAGGAAGCATATTGAGCTACGACCCAGTAACTGTAGACCTTCATGGCCTCTGAACTACATCGCTCGAACTGATTTCAGGCACCCTTTGCTTGGAGGTACCGCCCCCTTCAGGTACAAAAGGGGTTCTCCAGTTCAGCTGTGAGCAGTTTGGGCAAGTAGTCCAAGCAGGATCCTGAATCAAAGTGTTTGATCTCTGATGTGGCAGCAGAGGCATTGCAATGCAATCATGGCCCAAATGTTCGTTGATGCTGTGACTTGCACCATTGTCCAAACGTTTTTCAAAGATGGTCGCAAAGATTCAGGGAGTCATACAGGGATTAGAAATCCCCATGGCGGAGGAGACTGTCATTGCCCAAGAGGCTTACGTGGTTGCCGGAAGCTGAGTTGTGGTCTGGCACGTTGTGTTTGGAAGGTTGAGTGACTGCACCTGGGGTTGCCTGATTCGAAGCAGAGTTATTGCCGCAGCCAGTTTGGGCGTGGCTGCAGGGTTGGATTCTGGCTCATGGTTTAGGGCCAGCTTAGGGACACTGCAAGTCCTCTTGATTCAAAGTACCGAGGTGTACACACGTTCTCCACTGGCGGAGCAAACGCGACCCGTCTGTGTTTGGGCATGCTAGCAGTACAGGTGCTTGTTTCAGGGTTCAGGGAATCTGGAAGTATTGTGCGCCGAGCTCGGCGCATTTGTGTGCATGTTCTCAAGGACACCGGTCGATCTGAAGATTGTGGACTCCATTGCATCGGCCAGTTGCCTGCAATTCGTAGCTTCCCACCGTACCCCCAACTTCCACGCCAGGAGTGTGAATGCGTTGTATAGCCTCGGTCTCGGACTGTTGGACAGAAGAAGCACCAGAAGAGAGCTGGAATACGCGTTTACAGCCCTGCCTTGTCCACGTGCATGCCATCGCTGAGAGGCTTTGTTTTGCATTTCCGGGCTGAAAAGCCCAAGCTGAGCCGGACTGTCACAACATCCATGAGCCAAATATTCAGCGGAAGAGTCCCTAAATCCATCCACCCAGCCCGCAGACAAAACCTGGAAAAAGCAGAATCCTGAAACAGGCAGTTGAAGTCTTGGTACGACAAGCAGCTGAGATACACGTTGCCCCAAAACACCCATGAGCCGTGAAAGCAACTTCCAGGTATCCAACATCAGCTTCCCTGATTTCGACCTTGACGAGGGCGATCTCGGAGGCGTCTTAGAATGGCAGCGGCCCAGCACCACAGGAAGCAGCTTGGACTTTCGGGAACGAGATGGGTTATGGATGGGGGTTCTCTGGCAGCGGGATGCTCGAGGGTTGTTGTGTTGAGGATCAAGGTGACTTGACATTGTTGATGCAAAGGTTGACGGCTTTGCAGCAGCATGGCACCGGCTGAATTGGCCAGTTCGGCATTGCAGGGAATTACGGCCCTGAGGTGACGAGGTCGAGTTTTACATTGTGGCAAGGCAGCATTTACAAATGGACCAGTTTCACACTGTGGGCCCGGGTCCGGCTCCTCCACGGCTCTTGCACATGCTGCTGTTCGAGTGTTTTTTTTGCCGTGCCAGCACTGAGAGTTGTGCACTCTGACGCTTCTAGCTAGAGTTTTAGCACGTCAAACATACATGAGCAAGCGGAGGACTGCTCCGGCATCTCTGTACGCATGTTCATGAGAGAACCATCAACAGAAGCTGCTGAGGGCTGCCAAGCTGAGCTGTGTTTGTGAGGTCTACTTCGCTTCGTGTGGCACTGCGAACGGGTCAGACAGTTGCAGCGGCATGTCTCGTTGGACTGAGTGTCGTTCTTGTAGGACATGACGTGTTGTCTTTATCGTGGAAGCCATGGCCACACTGTCAGGTGCGAAGTCCTACTATGCCGAGACCCCCCTTGGGACAGAGAACTTGACCGTGGAGCCAGAGACGTCCATCAACAACTTCACCCACTGGTTATCGAGCTGCACCCCGTAGCTGATGTCTAATGGGTACTGTGGAGACTTTTTTGGCGTGCTGGCGGCTTGGTGCCTCCTCTGTGCCTGACTCGAAATTCCAGCGCCGACTTGAACAGCCAGAAATTTCAGATTCTACACATTATAGTGGAGGGCTTGCTATAGATCTAGAGCTTGACGCTTGAAGCTGGCAACTGCGCAAAAGATGCCAGGCTCATCTACACCCAGTCGAGCCTGGTGGAACAGACCTACCCGGTGGCACACAAAATATTTGACGCGACCTCCAGCGTATCAGGCCTCATGCCATGACTCGTCCGTGCAAGGCAGAAGGCGCCAGCCCCAACAGCTTCACCCGAGACTGTAACGCCGTAAACCCCATGGCGGTGAATCCTCAAGTTTCCAGAGAGTCTCTCGACAGGCATTCAATTCACCGACAAAGACCTCGACGCCTTGGAGCTAGGAGGCCTCCAATACCTAGCGGAGGGATGACACATGATGACACTTTCGAGGGGCGTCGGGGAATTTTGGGGCATCGTGGCACAGTTCGGAGACTCTTGCCTGCAGAACCTAAGAGCATCCTGTGAGGCACCACCTATTGGCTGCAGCCTGTCTACGACGCCAGAGTGCGATCCTATAATGTGTACCTGTCGGCAGATCCAGCAGGCGCGGCAAAAAGGGCCGAAGACACCAGGTCTCGAGCCATCATTCAGCTTTCAAGCTGCCTCCAGCCTGTCACAGACAGTGTCACAGATTAGATTCAGACGGCCTGATGGCCCAGGCCCAGGCCTTTGTCCCTGCCTCGCCCATCAGAAACTCAACCCGCAAAACTGCAACTCGAGAATTAGAAGGCCCTTAGCTGTAGCTTCAACACCCCGAACCCTGCACTCTTGAAAGGTGGTGGTCGTTCGCACTTGGGCACCGTCGAAGCAGCCGAAAGCAGCTTCGCGCCGCCCGGTGGACACTGCGCGGTTGAAGTCTTCGCGTTCAGGAAGCACCCCGAGTGCCAGCACGCTCGAGAGTTCTGAGCGCAAGAAACGCCACCTCAGAAGCCCCACACGACGTGAGAAGCGCGTGAATGCCGAGAGCCAACCCGAGGCTCACACCCGATACCTCGTCGCAAGACTTCGCTTTCCTGGCGGCCACACGGAAGGATTCAGTTCCGCATGAGATTAGTATAGATTAGTTGTCGGGTCTTAGTCTTGGCTGCCTGTGGCCTGTCGGGGCTGTGTCTACAGAACCAACGCCCCTCAGCCCTGCAGCCTAGCACCCCAACATGATCCAACATGAGGCCTCACAGACTCATGGTTCGAGGAAACGGTTCGGAACCACACCTTCGCCCAGTTTTCTGAATGTTCAGGTTCTGGGCAGTAACTGATTAGACATTGCGCTTCGGCACCAGAGTTCGTGATTATTCAGGGCGGTGTCGGCGACGACTGCTCACGAGGTGTATACGGAGTCTGAGCTGGTCGAGCAAACCACGCCGGTGGCTCTGAACTTCCTAGACCGTGCCTGTCTCTGCATTCAATTTGGAAGCGTTGAAGCGTTGGTAAGATTGAGGGTTCGTAGCACTGACGGCATCAGCCACAAGTGACAGAATCCCGGATGCAAAGTGCCGGACTTTCCCAGGAGAGTCTTTGGTTCAGAATGTGACCTTTCCAGATTTCGATCTGGACTATGATGACCTTGGTGGCACTTTGGCATGGCAGAAACCTGCAGATGCCACGCAGGCAGCACATGGGTTTGTTGCTGGGGGCTGAGCATGTTGCTATTACGTGATGTTGCGGGTTTCGGGTTCAAACGAAGCCGGGCACATTTCGCACCAAAAGTGTAAAGCGAGGACATACGGTGACAGGTGACCCACTACATTGTTTACATGGTCGATGTTCCCGAAGAGGCAGAATTGGTGGATGACTGCAATGCAGCTTGGCAGCTTTCGGCGTAAATGGCTCCGGACGATATGGCTTGGTGTTATTATAACTGTCATTATAGATGTCCGCAGGCTCCATGCTGTCCATTGTTTGCTCAACTCTCAGCTCCAAACCTTCCCTTTAAGTCTTCAAGCCAAACCATCTCAGCTCTCGAACGAAACGCGAGGGTCAAGCTGCAACTCCGCAAATGCAAGAAATGGTGCGTCCACAAGATCGTAGGAGATAACGACAACGAGTACTGTAGCTTCATGTGTGATGTAAACTGGTTGGGGAGGAATGGAGCTTGAAGGCCGGGTTTGGCCGGGCGGAATCGTAAGGCAACTCCTATTCTACCTTATGCCACAAGATTCAGCAGAGGGGAAAGGAAAGGACTCAAGAGAAAATGTGTGGGGAAGCAAGGAAGAGGGTACACAGCAACAAGTCAAGAGAGTGCAGACCAGCGAACAACACCAAAACATAAAGTCGCTGCATGCAGCGTTCGTTTGGTACACTGGTAGCAGCACTCGCGTCCCACTTGCTGCCATCATGCATTGATTAAGAAGGGCGGCTAATACAGTAGGGGGTTTCATCGAGTGCTCACTGGAATCACGCCATCGGAGCAACAGCATCACTATGGTCCTTGTAATCGGCATGGTCACCACCCGCTCCAGTACCAGCCGCAGCAGGCACGACAGCAGTGCATGTCCGGTGCATGCGTGAGCGAGAGTAAGAGAATTGAGAACAGAGTGTGTGTGTGTGTGTGTGTGCGTGTGTGTGTGTGTGTGAGTGATTGAGCGAGTGAGTGGGTGTGAGTGTGTGTGTGCGCATGGATTGTTTGGAGCAGTGGGTACCTTGGTCAAGGCCATGTGGACAGAAAGCTTCGATGCTCGCATCTTCGTGGCCCCTGGGTCACGACTTACCGGGAACCCCTGTCCATGCTCCTTACTGTTTCATCGGTTGTTGGCTGGCCAGTATCATAGTAGACCAGGATGATGCACATGAAATTGCGGATGCTGGTTTGCTGCATGATAATAAACATTTCGCCACAGTTTACATAAGATCACTTTAGGGAAGCCGCTTAAACTTTTGACCACGCAGGCAAGTGCACTGCACCACGTTAGACTTCAAGACCAACATGAAGCAGTGGAGTCAAGACATTAGAGCCATGTTCTGGGCATCGGGCATCGAGAGGTCGGATTCTTGCAAGGGGCTTAAGCATCATATCGCGGCCGGAGTTGTTTGGTGCTGGTGCCCAGCTGCAGGATAATGCAGTCTCTTCAATTTTTCCCGATTCTGGAATCCGGGAACACAGCATTCAACGACGAGCCCCCAGCACGAATGTCCGCCCCGCTGGTTGGCCTCACCACAAACCATACGAGCATCCGCTGAGCCTTTAACGGCACACTTGAGCACTTTGGGCTACGCAGGTTTTTGTCGGGTGTACCGCTTCGGTTGGGTTTGCCGCTGCACCCGCTGTACAGTGCGTGCCGGCAGGATCACCAGTGCTAGTGTGTAGTGTGCACATCTTCTGATTCTTTGGTGCCGGCACATTGCTGTGCCAGTATTCACGATTTTCCCGCCGGCCCGCCCGGTGGGAAGAGTTTCTGCTGCCTACTAGGGATTGCACGCATGTCCGTCCAATGAAACAGGAGAGACAGCCAAAATAAGAACGTGTGAGGTCGACAAAAACATGCGTTTGCCCAGTCTCAAACTGCAACTGCGCTGTACTCCCAAACCCTCGAAAGTATACATCGTAAAGCCCCATCCTTGCAAGGTGGGGCACAAGGGCGGGGTAAACCCTGGCCGCAAAAGTAGGCTGCTGCTATCACTACTGCTACGGCAACTGCTCGGCCACGACGACGACATTATGGCAGTAGCAGTAGCCGCAGGAGTGGCAGTAAAAGTGGTAGCAGTGGTGGTAGTTGACTGCAAAGCAAGAATCCTTTCGATTCCCAGGACTTCAACCAGAGCTACCTTCCAAGTCCAGGGCTCACCTTGATCAACGGCATCAATGCTTCGATCTTGTGCAACAGGCGGCTTCGTTTGCAGAAACAACAACCTCCGTCCCCTCTTCATTACAGCTTACAGCTTCTGTCCTCGACGAGCAATCTAGAGCATCTCCGACGATTTGGCATTGGTGGTTTCTTGGCCCCCTAGAAACTGTCTAAAACCTGTCAGGTCAGTTTCAGAAATTTCAGATATGAGATGGCCTGTGTGTGAGGATTTGCACGCAAGAGTCTGTGCAAACGTGCTTTTCATGTGCATGCAACAGTGGAGCTGGAGGAAAAATGCATTTGTTTCAAGCTTGCCACTGCGTAGCAGGTCTTTCTACGTCTGGGTCGACGTCTGATCCCGAGCTTCTGTGGCTATGCGGACGTGAGCAGTTGCCTGCCTTTCACACCGACATGTCCGTCAAGAATGGCAGGTGAGCGTGGAGTCCATTGCAGTGCCAGAAAATCTGACGTTACGACCGTACACTCACTGGGCCGTCTATGCCATGTCTTCGCTTGTGGAACAGTCCACACCTACATCCTTGAGGATCTATGTGACTCAGTTGCAACATTGTATACAGTAGGATCTGTAATCCTGCGCCATCGTAACACCTGTTGATTTTGGGCTCTCTGCCACATCTTTCTCCACACACGGGAGTCCGCCCAAGCTGCTTGGAAGAACATGTGTTCGCACGAGGATATGGTGGCCAACGTGTCCAACATTACTTTCCAAGGCTCCTCGCAAGTTTGGAACTGGGGCGTCAGCAGCTCATATATATATATATATATATAGAGAGAGAGAGAGAGAGTGTGTGTGTGTGTGTGTGTTCCAAGTTGACCATTTGTTTCATGCAGTCCGCACGGGTGGCCCAAGCAACAAACCTCAAAGCCCTCGGGTCAGCCAACAGCTCAGGTACTAGTAGCACCAAAACACCCTCAATCCGTGAAGACTAAACAAGAACAGTCCTACCCAAAGCTCCAAGCCCACAGCAAGTGAACCGTGGGTTTTGTGACCCGCACAGACTTTGCACCTTCTCTGAACATGGATTGAGTGGGTCCTCCCTGGCTCATTTACCACCTGCACGAGGCCTTCTACAAAATGCCATAGTTGTGCAACCGCCACAAATTCCAAACCGTTAACCTTAAAAGTTTGGGCCTCGTGCCGACAGCGTCACAGGATTGGACTTGGACTTGGCGCACTTGGGTGGAACCGTTGCGTGGCAGCCGCCAGTAGCTCGTCCAAGCTTGAGAGATAAGATTGAAGCGCACACACACACACACACACGCACACACACACACACATGACACACACGCACGCCGCAACAATCGCGTGTGTAAGTACATCCTAAACCCTAGTGTGCTGCAGTAGTCGGCCTCCTGATGCGGTTGTTACAGTAGCAGCAAGCCTGATAACCGTGCTGCGGCCGAAGGACGCGCCGCCTTCAGAGCAAGCTGTGCGGGTTTTGTGTTGAGGTCCGGCTGGAGAGCTGCTTCTTGCTAGTGCTCCAGAGTTTTCAACACCTAGGTTAAAACCTAATGTAACCCGAAAGGTCCTCTGAAGGACCCGCACCCGAGTGAAACGCGCCGAAAAGGAGCTCATGGAGCGCGTGTACAGTTACGCCGTGTACCTGGCCGAGAGTGCTGCAGGGGACCAGCGTTCCCAGATCGGAAACCAGGCGAGGCCCAGCATGGGTTCGGAAGCTTGTTGTGTCTTGGCATGCCAGTAGGCACGGATAGAAATAGCAGTCATTATGTGCTGTAAGTTTCCAACGTGAACATCTGTATCGCTGCTGCTACTATAAGTACAAGTACGCCGGTGTTGACCGCAGGTAGCGACAGACGACCGAACATGCCGAGACCACTCCAAGAAACCCTCATGATGACATTCCATGCGAGGACTTGACCCAATCCTTCTACGGTCCACGAATGACCCAATAGTGTTGGCTATCAATATTCAATCGGCGGTTTGAGTCTCAGCTTTCGGGTTGATGCGTGGTCGCTCCAGGCTTTGGTTTAACGGCCCGTGTATAGGATTGAACAGCCCATCCCTAGCCTTCAGCTTCAAAAGGTGCTTGCCGGCACCGATGCCTTGTTGGTGCCGTCCGACACGCTGCGAGAATCCTACACTCACTTCGTGGCTGGGCAAGACATGTAGTGTCAGCAAAGGGCTGTCATGCAGAATGTGGTTGTGTGGGAACTGCAAGATCTCCTGGCGCTCTGGCTGTCATCTCCCCGTGCAGTTTGGCAATCTTTAATGCTCAGTTGTGAAATGAGCTCAGGCGATTTATACGCGCTCCACACTAGCAGAACAGCTTCCTGGCAACTTAAGGGGCTGATGGCAGAAACGGCACAGAAACCCTTTTTTGCTTGGCCGTGTCTGAGGACGACTCCCTCTTCCTTGGCCTTCCTTGACGAAGTGTCCAAAGCAGGAAATGTAACTTTCGTCGATGATGACCTTGACCGCTACGAGTCCTTTGTCAGAACTAGCCGCTGACGTGTGAACGGTCCCGTTTTGTTTTGATTGGATCAGAAGCCGCTCAAAGCATCCAGACGAGGATTGGAGGCGACTTGATATGGCTGCAGCCGGAGGATGACAGCGAAGTGCAACACTACCAGATCTACTTGGCCGAGGCTCTTCACGCTACCTCCCCTGCATTCCCTAGAGCACCGTCCTGTGAAAGGCACACACAATCGCCGAGTTAGCTGACAAAAGTGTCCTGTGGAGTTCGTCAATCATAGAAACCTTTGGGCTGTGCGCTGGTTCGTGCCTGCGCAAGCTATGGCCAGTGTCTCCCGTTCAGGACAGCTCTGGGAGCAATCGCTCGTTGCTGGGCAATGCGAGCCAGGGTGTGCACATATTCGCTGTGCCGCCCAATACGGCCCTGATGTCCTTTACACACCTCACTGTCTTTGCTCAGCCTCTTGGCTGGAAGATCGAGAGATGAGCAAAACAGACCAGCAAGTTTAGTAATTAGGTATGATGTTGCAATTTGCCCTTTCAAGCTCGTTCCGACTGCTGCGATCTTACAGTTTGCATGGACCTGCCGCGAAGGTCCATTCTGTCGGAGCAGACCACGCCGAGTTCAGCCACGAGTCTATACATGTCTATGCACTTTTTGATCTGGCAGCTCTAGCACCTTGAATTCAGGGCACGCCGGTTCAGAGTCCAGAGCCATAAGGTTCACTTCCGGGGTTCTTGCCAGCGACAGGTCCTGATCGTGGACACCATTGCAAGCGTTGCCAACCTCCGCCTCATCGACCTTGATCTGGAAGCCCGGAGAAGTTGTCGGGACACCTCGCTTAGTGTCTGAGGGTCCTTATGTACCAAAGCAGACCTGAGCCAGAGACCAGAAACTCAAGCTTTCAGGAAATAGCCTTGCGCTTGCTGACGGAACCTCAACCTTTGCCGACTTAGGATCCTTTGGAGATTGGTGGCCGCGCAACATGGACACCACCAGCGCGACTCGGTTACTCTGCATGCGGGCTACAGTTGCTTGCGATGCTTCAAGGTAAGGAAAAGGCTCAGGGCTCACGCTGACAGCTCTGAAGAAATCCGAACCTCTCCCTCCCCACAGAGACCTGTCTGTCTGTCGGTCTGTCTGGCTGTCTGTCTGTCTATTTATACCATGCATCCGTCCATGCACAGGTACACGCACGTACAAGGATGTGCGTACATACAGTCATACATGTGTGCATGCATACATACATGCATACATACATACATGCATACATACATACCATACCATACCATACCATACCCTACCCTACCCTACCCTACCATACCATACATACATACATACATACATACATACATACATACATACATACACAATGTACGTGCGAGTACATAAGTATCTGTACATGTAACAATATACATATATATATATATATATACATATTATATCACATTGCATTATATATCATGATATCATACTGTTCTATATCATATTATATCGCAGTATATTTTATTGAGATATATTATATTGTATGAACTTAAACTAGATCATAGTGTATCATGTTGTATTATCTTATACTAGATTCTACCATGACACATTACATTGCATTCCATTCCATTATAGTATTTCGTATCATGTTATACTATATTCTGTTGTATCATAGTATATTATAATATATCGTTTCACGCTTAAGTCTTGCAAAGTATGTTCACATTATATATACAGAAAGGACTGCTGTGTGGGATGGAAACTGCTGGCGTGTACGTGTTCGAGATGTTTGTTAACACAGCTTCAGGGCTAGTTTGGGAACGAAACTGCCGCTTTGTACCTGTTCGAGATGTTCGTGTATTGGAACTTGTTCCTTTCTGCGAACAGTGCTTTCGGCATGCTTTCCTCATGCGCGTGTATGTACTAGGCTCCTNNTTGACGTCTGTGTTTTAAAACACAGCTTGTGCTTTAACACATGCTTTCGTAACCAAAACCAAAGATCACAAAAAGCACACGCACCAAACAACAAGCGAACCAACAAAACAAAAAGAACAAAGATTTGCACCCTACTCCATCCAGAGTCTGGACTACTGCGAAAATCTGTGTGTTTTTTGTTGTTTTGGTTCGTTTGGTTCCGTCCTTTGCTCTTCCGTCCGCCCCTACCGTCGCCTGAAAACTCCATGATGCCGACACACTTGGTCTCTGTTTTAAAGCACATTTGTTAATCCTGCTGCTGTGAAGCCGGGATGTCCAACTCGCCTCTTAATTCTTTGCCAACTTATCGCATCGAGTAATGTAGTACATCTGCGGGAAGGGAATTTCATGTGCCGCGCACATGATGAGGGACAGCTATGGGGAGAGCCTCGTGCACTCTGGAAGCAGTTCTGAAAATCCACTCCAACAATGCTCTCTGGCCAGAGAAATCTTCCGGGCGCCTGCGATCGTATCGAGTAGTGAAGGACAACGATTTGAAACATGTCATGCGCCCCACATACGATGAAGGACAGCTACTGGGGGAACCTCTTGCACTTTGTATCCCGCTGCGAAGATCCAAAACTATCTACGTCGAAGAAATGTTCAAGACACCGGTGCTTTTAAAAATTGGATTCGTGAATCTGACAGTCTGACTAGTCCGCAGAAGTTTTGTGTTCTTGTATTTATAACATTTGAAGTACAACTTGCCCCATTAAATCCCAGCCAACGCTTACTCGCTATCGTTACTGGAATAGAAACGGTAAGTTGAAACATTGGGAAGACAAAGACTGTGGTTTGTCAAGACTACTGAATTTTGCTTTGGGAATTTGGAACATTGGAAATTGCAAACAATCTAACGAACATGCATCCAAGACGTAGCGTGAATGTAACCGGTCAAACTCAGAAGAGGCACCCCTTTCAAGAGTAGGAAGGAAAATGGGAAATTGGACGTTGGAAACGAAGCATATTCCATACTATTAATTTAAGATTCCACTCGAATAGCACTAATCAAACTGCCCAAAAAGGAAATAAACAGCAACAAAATGGACCTGTTAGTTTGGTTTCTCAATTGGCTCTTATATTCTCTGTCCTTTGGGCTTAACAAGGGCTGTGCGAGTTGTGCTAGAGTATATACTACGCAATACTATGCTATGCTGTACTATGCCACACTATGTTACACTATATTGTACGAGGTTAGACTAGACTACTCTGCTGCACTCGACTCTGCTCTACTATACTTCACTTCTCTGTGTACATAATACATACACCACAGTATACTCTACCGTACCATACTATACTATACTATACCTTGCTATACTGTGCTATACTAAATTTTATTAGTCAATACTCTACTTACTTCACTATAAGATACTAGACTGTACTGTGCTACCATTACCATTATTATTCCCAGTCCTATTCCTATTCCTATT